GATGATGATGATGATGATGATGATGATGATGATGATGATGATGATGATGATGATTATTAATTATTAATTATTAATTATTAATTATTAATTATTAATTATTAATTATTAATTATTAATTATTAATTATTAATTATTAATTATTAATTATTAATTATTAATTAATAATAAAAATTAATAATAATAATTGTTAATTTCTATAACGCACATAAACGAGGTCTCTATTCGCCCAACAATATTGTGGACAAGAAACAATAAAAAAATAAAAAAATTAAAATAAAAATCAATAAACACCTAGCTAGTACCCAAACCGAAGTATGGGGTTATACCATCACCGGCATCTGGAGATCTGTGTTTATGTACTCCAGTTAGCATCAGTTAAGTCTTGATCTTTACTGGGATCATTAGTAAAATAAATAATAGAATAAGAAGAATATACATTATCTCAGTTTCAAACTGAAACTTAGTACTGATGTTGACATTGATTTTTTAATATTCATTCTATTAGCCTAGATTTATGCATAATATTTACAGTCTTTTCAGAAACAGATCATGTTGTATACATTTTTAACCATGTTTTGCACACTAGGTTTAGTATTATATTTAGCTCAATACGTAATGCACATTATTTATCACTGTAAAAACTTACATATATTGCAAGTTGGTCCAAAAAAACCAGACACACACTGACAGTTCTCGTTTCCGTAATCCGAGACACAGACTCCGCCGTTCAAGCAGTCAACATCGCAAGTTTCTTCAATTAGAAATTGAATATTAATTAGTGACATACTCTGTTTGTATTAAAATAACCTCGTTGCTCATCACAATACTTATTGTATAAAATTATTATTGTTATGAAAATCGCATTTGTCTTTATATATACATTGATTGATATACATTGATTATGTAAGCGATAGATTATTGGCGGTGCTTTTGAGCCAGCTTAATACTAAGACTTTTGAAAATTGATGTAGGAATATAATAGTAGTTCTATACCTATATGTTTAAATTATATAACGCATGATATGATGACTATTAAATACAGTTTAGAGATCAAGGAACATAATATAATGTACATACGTAGAAATAATATATATTATATACCTGCTATACCTATCCGGATACCGCTAACGGTTAGCGCTAACCGATCGGGCGTTCTCACGCAGGTGCTAACAGTTAGCGCTAACGGTTAGCTCCCGATCCGGATACTAGGGCTCTCGTGAGAACCAGACTATAACTATTCGTTTCATTGTAGCTTGTGTGATACGTGTTATTTTAGGTTTTTTTATATTTGTATTCACATTTATACTTGCATATCTATTTTTACATTTTAACCAGATTGCCTTGGATTTCAGGTTTTAAATTGATATTTGTGAAGCATTGATTTGTTTATCTATTGTATAATTTTATCATTGCTAACCCACTTATTTTCAATTTTAGCCTATTTAACCTTTGACCTATACGTGTGTGATCTTTCCAATTGACAATGTCGAAGGTTAACTTTCCTGTAAAAATAAATTTCTGTGACGGGAGGGATCTGTATGAACTCCCACATGTTAAGAAAAAACGTGCACAACAGATAATCCGTTGGAGGACACGTCATGGTAACTTAACGCCGGATAGTTTGGATACTATTAAGGGGGTTAGTAGATCTAATTTGAAGAAGTATGTAGACTTCACGCCTAATCCTCTTTTGGGGGAAGTGGGGGTTGGTTCGATGATCCAATCGGTCTCATCCCTAGTTGATAATAAGAACCTGGCTGCTGTTTCCAGTAGTCGTCAGTTACCATCAACTCCTGTTACTAACCCACCCCGTCACCACCAGGATATACCGTGTCATCCCGGGAATAGGTTGTCTCCAACTCCTGCCCTGAGTAGATCGGATCCCGTCCTGGTTGCGTGTCATGGTTCACCATCTCGAACGAGTAAATCATCATCTAAGGGTAAATCCAGGCGAATCCGCCGCCCTGTTGAGTACTCTGAGAGTGAGGGTGAGGAAGAGAGTGTCTGTAAGAGTGAGGAAAGTGATGATGAGCACGATAGCAGTGAGATCTTGCGACATCAGCGAGCTTTCCTCGACTTGATCGACCACAAGAAGATTATTATAGACATCATCGTCAACGGGATGATTATCCCAGACCCTATTATCGACATGTTGCTTATCCTGGACCCGATCATCGATGGGATGATTACTATAGATCAGAACGACAACGGGAGGATTATCATAGACCTGGGTTGAGAACTCTCAAGCCGAGGGATATTCCCAAAAACTTAGTATTTAAGGGCAAGGAAAGCTGGTCTTTCTTTAGAAAACGTTTTCTAGCCTTTACAGAAGAGTATGAGCTAACACCGAAAGCTAAAACTGAAACTCTTTGTTGGTGTGTGGAGGGGTCTGCGGCCGATTTCTATGTGAATCTCCTAGAAATGGACCGTAGGATCACCTTCAAGAAGATCTTGAAGGCCTTTGATAAACGTTTCGGGGAGGAAGGTTTGCCTGCCGTCCTGCAAGCTCGATTGGAAGCCGCCACTCAACGTGAAGACGAATCCATTGATGAGTGGGGTGATCGAGTTATGACTATGACCAAAAAAGCATATATAGATCTGCCAAGGGCCTGGATCCGTCAGCAAGCTGCTACGAGGTTCTGTCTTGGTTGTCGAGATACAGAGGCTGGGAGATATGTCCTCCACAAGCAAGTTTCCACTCTGGCAGAGGCTTTGACTGAGTATGAGCAGTACTATCAGGCTGTATGGTAGGAGAGGGAGCAGATCTCGAAATAGTGGAAAATCCATGATCAAGTCTGCTACCCGTGTCACTCAACGTTCATCATCTCCTTACTCCTGCAGGGAGCAGACTGCAGGGCTGCAAAATGCCAACAAGTAAGTGAACGTTACAACCGGGGTGGTAAGTCCAACTATCCCAGATCCTCCGCTCCTATAAGGCAAGCTGCAGTTATACCCACAAGTAAACCGGTTACGACGGGCCAGAAACCATCCCCATCTCCATCATGCAACACTGAGAGAAGGTTAACTGGCCTCGAAGATCAGGTGGATGCAGTTAACAGAAAGCTGGACGCAGTGTTGGATATGTTGAAACCACGTGGGGATCGATGCCTTGAAATGCCAAGAGGCAGGACACTGTCGTAATAACTGTCCCAAACTCGTCTCTTTTAAACAACCTAGGCGGGTTGGCCCCCAGGGAGAGGATCCTTTAAGCGAGTAGGGGTCGGAAGCCATGGCCAGCTAGCCGACCATCCTCCCCTTAGCGGCCAACAACTACTTAAAGACGAAGAAACCAAGAACGACGTAGTTTCTCTTGTTCCAGGTGGGCCTAGCAATACTGTTAGTCCACAGAGCATACGTCTTGTTCCGGGTGGGCCTAACAATGCTGTTAGTCCACAAGATACACATCAAGAAACTGTGATATCATCGACCAACTCTACCTCATCCACTGCCTCTCAAACAACCGATTCACAGTTGTGCACACCGGGGGACAGTAATGAGCCAGCGACAAGAACAACAACGATAAAAGAAATAACTATCAGTACAGTAGGATCTGAGAATGCCCTGCATACGACTGCTTTAGTTAATAATGTAAAAATAAATGTAGTTGTAGATACCGCAGCTGATTACACCATCCTCTCTGATAGAGTATACTCTAGACTTGAACCAGCGCCACCTGTTGTTGCAAAATTATCCTTCACTTTAGCGGGAAGGCTAACATCTATGCCAGGCTATAAGGTGGGTCCCGTCAATTTCCGATTGGGTTCCAATGAGTATAAAAGATTCTTCTACGTAGCCCCTATAAATGATGAAATGCTCTTGGGTGGGGATTTCCTGCACCCTAATAAAGCAATTATTGATTTTGGGAGGCTACTACTAACCATTGGTGATAGCACCATATCGCTTAGGAGCGACTCCAAACCCGCTCTAAGGATTGCCCGAGTATGTGTAGCTAAACGTAAGGTGATACCTCCCCACTGTGTTACACATGTTAAGTGTCATCTAGTCAATAATGGTTTACCCATGCCTGATCTCGTCATGGAACCAGGAGACATACAAAGGGTAGCGATTCCCGTTACACTGCACCGCTGCATTGATGTGCCATGCATCTGTGTAATTAATATGTCCAATATTTATGTCACTATGAAGAAGGGTAGACAGATAGGCAAGGCCGTAGAGCCTGAAAATCTAGATGAAATTATTACCGATGGCCCTCTCATTAAACAACGTCATCGGCCCACGCCGTTACGTTTTGACAGCAAAGAGGAGCAAGAAATTAATAAGATGCTGGAAGATGGAGTTATCCAATTCTGTACTGACCATCATGCATTACACAATACCATGATGAAATGCAGAAACCTGGGCAAGTCGGTACGCATCGAGCAGCAACAAGGTTCCCTGGGTATGGGAATGCCCTGGGCGTTGCAAGCATGCAGGCCCGATGACTTGCGGAATTCCCAGATGGAGCATCTTCCCCTGAGCACTGTGCGACTTCCTGTACATGTTCAGAAAGGCCCCTGCAAAATGGACCGAAGACTGAGCGGTCAAATCCCTTGGGACCCGGGTATTGAATCTAATATCTGGTAGCTCTCCTGGGTGGGGTTTATATCCACACGGTTGGTCATCAAGTCTGATGGCCTTTCTCTCAAGAATTGTGGATCAGAATTATTGGGTAGTCATCGTATCCCATCAGTTGATTTTTCCACTGATGGCTCTAATGAAACTTAACTATATTACTCTTTGCCGACTGAAGTTGAGGGACTTCCAGTTCTTATGTCCATAGAGAAACCTATGGAAGCTATAGCATTCGATCAGCCAATACCTCCTGCAGCTGGTGGACTATTTATTACCCACGGGGTAGCGTCTCCTTTTTCAAACGAAGGAGGAGTGTAGTGACGACCCCCGTACGTTCGTATCCCCGATCTACGCAGGAAGGCATGACCTCAAGGTCAGCTCATCTGCATAACCCACAGCCGGGTGTGCTGCACAGGCGACCAGGGGTACCTGGTGAGATTAGTCACTCGTACACTGGACTTTATGCAAGACGCATCTTAGCTAACGCTACAGGATTGGTTTTATGTGTATCTGGTGTCCGGGTCTGCTATACAGGGTATATACACCGTACTATATACGGCGTGTACCATTACTCTGTGTGTCCGTATTGGATTTATATATTGGAGTATTATCGCCTCGAAGCAAGATATTCCATTGGATAAGGTAAGCTTCACTCGGTACTTATCAGAGTATATAGGCGATAATTACTACAAGTACAATAATAATAAAGATGTAAACAGGTTTCCAAATATCATTTGAGAATTCCACATAAAACTAGATGTAATATCAGATAATGATTAGCTAGGCCTAGGATTCCATCACCGATCCCAAAATAGCCTATATTCTCACCTACCAGCGTACGGTCCCCGCACTAGCCAGCGTTATCAACCTTTCACGAGATGATTATCAAAACAAAAACAAACTCCCTTCTCCTGTGGAATTCTGTAACTCTTTTTGGTTGCAAAAAGCCCTTCTTGTCCTTCTAGAACATTCTAGGGTTTACTGTCGCTAATTACAACTCATCACCGAGCCAGTCATTACTTTTCGTCAACCAAGACCCCTCGCATTTCCTAATTCCGCTCGCTTCTCCCACAAAGTTCTAAAAAACATTCTCACCTCACTCATTGAGGTAAATGACCTGGGGTCACTACTTTGTGACATTCTTTTAGAACAGAAATCCTTTGACTAAAACAAATCAAATAGCAAATATTCTCTACACCTTCTAACTATAAATGTTAGGGTATAATACCTTATAGGCCATCATCACAGGAGATGCAAGGAACATGTATGATGGTATTCGAAAAGCGCTTGGACCAAGGATAGTGAAGGTATCACCATTGAAAGCCTCCGATGGATCCATGCTGATAGACAAGATCAATCAACTGGAAAGATGGGAAGAACACTACATGGACATTTATTCCAGGGATGCTCCAATCGACAAGAAAGCTTTAGATGAAATACCTCGCCTCGAGCAAATGCATCTTGACTCAGAGCCTGATATTGAATCACTCTGCAGGGCTATAGACACCTTGTCTAACAACCGAGCACCAGGGACAGATGGTATACCATCAGAACTATTGGAAGCTGCTAAAAATGCTCTGATACTACCTGTATTCAATCTACTAATACAGTGCTGGAGGACAGGAGACATTCCACAAGATACGAGAGATACTCTTATTGTTAATCTATAAGAACAAAGGTGATCGATCAGACTGTAACAATTACAGAGGAATCTCACTCTTGAATATAACTGGAAAAGCAATCGCAAAGGTCATAGCACAACAATTACAACATGTTGCTGAGCGCATATACCCAGAATCCCAGTGCGGTTTTCGTGCGAAAAGATCCACTAATGACATGATATTTTCCTTGAGACAACTATAGGAGAAGTGTGAGAACAAAGAAAACCTCTATATGTTGCCTTTGTGGATCTTACAAAGGTCTTTGATATGGTGAATAGGGAAGGCCTCTGGATGATTCTTGAAAAAATGGTTGTCCTCAAAAGCTCCTTCGGTTAATTAGGTTTTCATAGTATATGCATGGATATATAAAATCAGAACAAAACGTATCCAAGGGTTTTAACATCAGAAACGGATGCAAGCAGGGAGACGTTCTAGCTCCTGTTATTTGGAATGTACTTTGCTGTGATTTTACAGTATTCATTCAAAGAAGTGAGGGAGGGTATTTACCTGCACACACGTTCAACCTTTCAAGACTGAAGTCTAAAACCAAAATGTCTACAGTCCTTGTTAGAGAATCGTTGTTTGCTGAAGATGCAGGACTTGTCTCACACTCCAATAGTGGACTGCAACAACTGATCACTTGCTTCAAAAATGCATGTGGAACAACTAACAAGTTTAGCTACTTAGGCTGAACAATATCACGTAATCTTTCTCTTGATGAAGAATTGAATACACGTACTGTATAGGGAAGGCTGCGACAACATTTGGTAGACTGACTGAATGTGCCTGGACTAACAACAAATTAACCTTAGCCACAAGAATAACCATATATCAAGCATATGTGCAAAGTGTATTACTCTAAGGAAGTGAGACATGGACCTTATATTCCAAACAAGAGAAGAAACTAAACAACTTCCACTTCAGGTATTTACGTCAAATCCTGAAACTGAAATGGCAAGACAAGGTCACAAATGCAGAAGTTTTGAGAAGAACAAAGTCACGAAGTATGTTTGCAATCATCAAACAGAAAAAATTGACATGGCATGGACATGTACATCTCTTGCCTGATGGACGGTTACCAAAAGACATCATGTATGGTAAACTGACTTCAGGAACAAGATCTTTAGGACGACCCAAGCTACGTTATGCAAGCAGGACCTCCACACCTTAAACATTGATCCTAATACATGGGAAGTATTAGCAGAGAACCGAGGAACATGGTGAAGAACATTACATGAAGGTGCTAAATTCTGAAAAGAGAAGCGAAAAGAGGAAAAAATCTTTAACTAACGACCAAGTTTACGATGATTATCTGTGCGAGAAGTGCCAAAGGAGATGTAAATCTAGAATAGGTCTAATCAGTCAAGAAAGGAAATGTCTCAAGACAAATAAAATAAATAATCTATACATTAAAGGAAAATAAACACTATGAATAAATTAATATTAATTATTAATTATAAATAGTAAAACAATGCTTCAAACATACACAAAACACATACAGCATTCATTGTGTCTGATGTGGATGCATCTTTGCAATCGTCTGTCACAGATGGAAGGTGCCATAATATATAATTAGATACTTTATTCATAGTGAATTGTTGTGTATGAAGGATTTGATATATTGATATGTGTGTGTGTGTATGTGTGTATGTATGTATGCGTGTATGTGTGTATGTATGTATGTATGTATGTATGTATGTATGTATGTATGTATGTACAGTATGTATATATCAAACAAACCATTTAGCAGATTTTACAAGTGATTATACAAGGCGCTGCCATCATTATTTCCCTGGTTACTGGATACTGAATTGGCAGATCCACCCATTATTAACTTTTTCTGCTCCCTAGAGAGTATCCCTGTTCATTGCTGCTTGAACGCGCACGACTCATACATTTATATGCCATACCATCCTAGAAGGTACCCATTTACTACTAGAAAGTTCAACGCCGAAGTAGTGTATAAACTCCGAAATGTTAAGAGCAATTATTCAAAAACAGATATTGGTTTTGCCAAGTTTTAGGGTAAGTAATTTAAGAGAACAAAGGATCCAACAAATTAACATATTTTATCCCCGCCGTAACTTCCCACAGTAATGTTAAACATGTAGTCTGAAGTTTTCATAGTCCATGTTGAGTAAATAATATCTGCTTTGTCTTCAGAGATTCCGGTGTGCTTTTGTGCGTACGAGCTATCGTCTGTTAACAATATTTGTGATAGATAATTAGAGTTCCACAATGTTAAAAATTATGGACTTCTTGGTTTGTGCTGGATGGGTTTAAATCATTCTGTGACAGAAATGGTGTTTTTCCATTTCTTTATTTGTGTTTTTGTGAGCCGGTCATGGTTTATCCGGTGGAGAATGGTCTTGCCTATGATTTTTTATGGGTTTAAGAGTCTACAGTTGTAAAATGTTTTCGTTATAGTATTTGAATGTTAATGTTATGAAAGTTTTCTTCATCAATGGTTTCTATTTGGTTCCAATTTCAAGCTTTGTAGCAATTGATTTAGTTGCATTGTTAATTTTGTGGGTGCTGCCTTCTTTTCTCTTCTTTTATGATATGACATAGTGATGTTTTCGTGTATGAGTTTATCACATTACAGCTAGTTACTTTTCAGAAGTTTGTTGTTTATCAGCAGTGTTGGATGAGTTCATTTGCTTTGCTGGTGATATTTATGATCTTTGAACGTGAGGAAAGGCTTTTTTATGTTTCCCATGATTTTGAAGTTGAGACTATAAGCTTTCCTAGCTTTTCTACCTACAGCTCCACTCTGTGTGAGCATTTCAGTCATTTGTAAGAAAATCTGTGGGGATATATATTAAAATTACTTATTTAAGTTACCCCCTTATTTTTCACAGAGTGTTATTATAGGGCGTAGGTGGTGAAAGCAGAGACAAAGGGCTAGTGGCGAAAATAATAGTTATGAAAGTGTATTTTACCGTTTCTCAAACATGCCCCATCGATGATCCTGACGTCATCTAAAGCAATATCTCCTTTATCACCACTTCTTACAATTCCTTCAAACACTATCTGGAAGGCACTCTTTGTTTCAACTGACAGTTTTCCAAGTCGCCAAACGTTTCCTTGATCGTTTGTATTTGCCCACGCGGGTGCACCAACGGTACCGTCTGTATTGACTAGGTACACATTCAATGTGGCCCCGTACATGTGGTAAAACCACATGACGCATGTGCCGTTTGTTGCGGGATATGACGATGTCCGAAGACGTGCAGTTTTGTTGTTGTATCGCGGATATGAAGTTTCGATGTACATGTAGGAACCTGTAGGCAAATGATAAAATAAATGTTATGGTTTAAGAGATATTGTTGTTATATCTCTTTTTAGTATATTTTATTTATTTTGTTTGTAGTTTTAGAAATATTTTTATCAAGAATTTACAATTTCATTTAGAAAATATAAATTCATGTCAGCTTTTTAATACCTTGTGATGTTCCATAGGTGTGGTCATACTTAGGGCCAGTACCAGATGTGGGTGTTGATCCAGATGTTCTTTTCCAATCAAAATCATCATATTCATCTTGTTCAAAGTAACAGATGTATGGATCCTCGAAATCACATTTGGTTTGCGCTACAAATTATACAAGAAAAAAAGTAACTACAGTTACGTAGTCTTAATAATTCATGACTTTATTAGTAAAAAACTTTTACACTTCAATATACCAATAAGTTTTGGCAATGAGTTTAATCATATTCTTATTTTATACCTAAAGAACTCGGAATGAAATTTTCAAATAATTAAAAAAAAACATGAACTTTACAATTTTACTTGTATATTAAGTCGAACTGGCCCTCAAAATACTTCCATATGTTAATGGTAAACTTCACAAAATTTTGTTTTCACATTTTCAATAATATATTACATTTCATTTCATTTCATTTATTTCGCCTTTTTTTTTTTATAATAACAATACAGTAAAATATTCAGAAAATTCGAAAAGGTAATCCATGTTTCCCCCAAGAGCCGGCAGGATTACCAAAAAGTAAAATTAATTACTGTCTGAGTGGCTCTCCAAGCAATGGGGGAAACATGGACTAGCAGTATAAATACATTATAACAATATGTATATATATATATATATATATGTGTGTGAAAATACAAAAATAATTAACAATTAAAATATGTTCATTACTTATATTATTATTGTTATTTTTATTATTACTATTACTATTATTATTATTATTATTATTATTATTATTATTATTATTATTATAACAACAATAATAATAACTACAATAATTTTGATTACAACTACCAGCATAATAATTATTATAAATATTAAACAATCACACAAACCAAAAAAAAGTACACAAAAAATTTATCAGAAATAGGAAAACACCCACCCCCAAACCCTGCCCCCACATCACAAACCAACAAACACCAAAAAGAGAAAATTAAGTAATTAGAGTTCACTTTCAGCTTGACTTGGGCATAGGCATATCTGAAATTCTCTCAGTTGTAAAAATGTTCTTTTAGCTTTCTGAGAAATAAGTTAATGTTAAAGAGAGCAGCATCACGTACTTCAAGTGGAAGAGTTTCCCATACAATGGGAAAATAATTGAAAGCAGAGAATTTAAATGTATTGGTTCGGGCAAAGGCATGCCTAAAATGCAAATCATCAGAGTGTCTTGTGTTGATCTTAACAAATTCCAAACAGTTTAAATCATACACATGATAAAGGCATTTACAAACAAAAGCTACAAGAATGAAATCATATCTAGCCTTCATAGAGATCAAGTTAAATTTAACTAATCTCTCCTCATAGCTTAACACAGATCTGAGTTCATTTGGGATGCTCATACGAGTTGCTTTTCTCTGAACCTTTTCAATAGATTTCAAATGTCCAGCTTGAAATGGATACCAACTCGGTACTCCATACTCTAAAATTGGTCTCACGAGGGAATTATATAATTTGATAAAGGCTTCGGAGTGATTGTATTTCAAAGTTCGCTTAATAAAGACCCTTGGAAGTGACATCATTAACGTGAGCACCCCATGATAAATTAGATGCAATGTTAACACCAAGGTACTTGTGAGTAGAAGTGAGCTGAAGCTACATTATTTGCTTCTTTAACATTATAGGTGTAATTTTTTAAACCTGGGTCCAACAATACTTAGTTACGGCAAGTTAAAAGCTTTTTAACACCTTTTAGGTTTTTTTATTTCTGGATTACGGTTACTTAAATCGTTTTGTATTAGTGAGATTAGAGAGATTTGATAAATGTCTTCCAATTCTGCTACAAGCTTTACTTGTTTTCGATCTTATTTGATGCTACTAAGGATAATATTTGAGATGTGAATTACGTAATATTGTTAGTGTAATTTTAAACGTCTTATTTTCTTTATATTATATGCTTTCTAAAGTGTTATTAGTATAATTGTTCCAGAGTAAGAATTTGAGTCTTCCTTATGCACATAGAATTCTTTTATTGGCCTAATTCCAAAAGCTGTAGATATCTGTCTCTTATACACATCTAGATGTGTATAAGAGACAGAAATGGGGTCAAAACAAAGAACCCATGTGCACTAAGCTTTGAGTTTAAGAACAGAAATTAAAAAAAATCTGTAAATGCCAATAAAAGTGTCAGATGCACGATTATCATCTGACTCGTTGATTATTCTGCCCCATGCAATAGTAGAGCATGTTTCTGAGCTTAAACTGTTATGTACATATTTCTGTGATTGACTCAACATCAGTTCCTCGAGCTCAAGGTAAGCATTATAATGGGCCTAAAATCGGTTAGTGACCGGTCAAGTCAGTTACAACTAGACCAGGATCAGTAGGTGTGAGATTATTCCTTATTAGGTGTTCGACATAATGACGAATTTAGTTTCAGAGTAGTCTTTAACTAATCATTTCTATTTTGTTATATTACGTGACACAAATTAAATTTCTTAGTTTTCACGTAGACTTTGTTGTAAGTTTTATTGTTGGTCAATGCTATCAGTGCTTGCAACATTTTAACGACTTTCTTCTGCTGTATTAATACTGTTTGCAGCTTTTCTAATTTGCCTTTAACACTGATTGATTAGTTGCTCATTAAACTTAGCGTTTTTGATGAATTTTTTTTTGTGAAACCGAGTATTACAAAAAAAGTTTGTAACATGTTTTATTCGTGTATTTGCAACATTCCAATGGTATTGTAATACAGCAAAATTAATTTCAATTTTTAAATTTTTGACATGAATTTTTTAAATCTTTGTCAATAAACATTAGTGTTTATAAACAAACATAAACAAATATATATTATAAAAAAAATATATATTATATAAAAAATGATATATTATATAAAAATATATTATATAAAAATTTATATAAATATATAACGAAAAAAACCCATGCTATTTTTGCTAACCATTAAATGAACACTCGGCATGCCAAGTGTTCACTTAATATTTAGCAAAAGTCCTTGATGTGTCTGCGTAACGAGGCCATATGACTTTTCAAATTTACTCGTGTACCCCTAAAGGAATTTTAATAGTACCCTAAACCACAAAGCAGAGAACTTTAAAAACAAATTGTTTTACCTAAGCTTTAAATGTTTGCAGTCTTCATTCAATGGTACATTCGATTTAAAAAATACAGCATCATCTTTTCTTTCATCTAAACATTTTGATTCTTGCCATGACAACATACAATTTATATTATGTCGATTTGTCGAGATAATCTATCTCTCGCCATGACAACATACAATATGTATTATGTCGACTTGTCAAGATAATCTATCTCGCCATGACAACATAACATTTTTACTATGTCGACTTGTCAAGATAATTTATCTCACCATGACAACATACAACTTTTATTATGTCGACTTGTCAAGATAACCTATCTCGTCATGACAACAAAACATTTTTATTATGTCGACTTGTCAAGATAATCTATCTCGCCATGTCGACATGATATGTATAATGTCGACTTGACAACATAATTATCTTGACAAGTCGTCAAGTCGAATGGCACTTAGGTGTTTCCGTAGTTACCAAAACTGTGAAAGTGTAATTAAGAAATGCCATAGATGAGTTCAATATTTTCATTGAATTGACCGACTTGGACATTTTCTAAATAATTTTCTTGATGTAGCAACTAAAAGTGTATTGTCGTACATACAGTTTTGTAAAAACGCAATTATACCAACTAAATATATGAGACATATTATCCAAATATCAAACAATGGGTATCCAAAAATTTACGTACATTGATGAAAGAAAAATATTCTACATGACGAAATGAAGCTCTGGCAAACAGTAAACGCATTAAAAAAAAGTAAGTAAAAAGTGATCGGAAAATCAATCGAAGATAAATTTGAATCTGGTGACATTCGGATTGTATGGATCGGGATGCAGTAAATAAAACGGAGTTAGAAGTAAATACAGCCTTGTGGACTTCAGAAGACTGCGATTTCAGCGAATGAATTAAACATATTTTATACTCTTTCGCTGAAGTCATCTTTCAAGGTCGTCAATTGTCACAACAAAATCAATGTTGCTGTTTTTGATGTTGAAAAGTAGGAAAATCAACTCACATAAAGAATCCGGGGCCTGATGGCGTTTCAAATAAAGTAATTAAGTTCTGTTATTTACAAATTAGCAATATATTTCAGTTCTTGTTCCAGTGGTTTTTAGATATTTCTTGTTTACCTAAGCAATGCAAATATTTCCTATATAAAAAGTAGAGAACCCTTTGATATGCAATGATTAGACCTATTGTCCTCAATGCTAGTCCCATAAAATTTTTTGAAAATTTTATGGGAAATCACTTTACATGAAGATACTAAGACTAATGTTGATATGTTTCAATATGCGTACAGATAAAAAAGAGGGGGTGGGGATTGTTGATGCTGTTACAACATTTAACTCACAAAGGTGGATGCCCATTGAGAGTACCTGTACGTGTGCTATGATTTTGTTCCTCGACTTCAAAATCAGCATTTAACAATTCAACCGCATATTCTTACAGATTAGTTAATCAAGATGGGGTAGCCCAGTTGAACTTCTGGATTTCTGACATTCTTAGTGGAGAAGTCAAATAGTTAAGTTTAATGGTTTCACATCCTCTTCACTTGTATGCAACACCAAAGCTCCTTGAATGTGTGTTTTGTCACCCCTTATGTTCTATCCTTATGTACCCCAATTAAACAGAGTAGATGCCTTAACCTCAAATTGGCTAACGACACCTGTATAGTTCAGCTTGTCAAAAATAATGATATTACTCCGTATTGTTGGTCTTTTGTCAACTCTTTGGACGAGGTTAATAAAAACCAAAGAGATTGTTGTAAATTACCGTAAGAAAATTGTGCATCATGATAATTTAACCATTAATGACGAATTAGTTAAAGTAATTGAAAAACCTAAGTGCCAGGAACCGTCATAGACAATAAAGTAACTTGGGATGAAAATACAATTGAACTACTCATAAAATGCAATAAATGTATGTATTTTCTGTATTGCATTAAAAGGTTTGTTTCTGTCTTTTTTCTCATCAGTTATTTAATCAAGACTGTGTACTAATGTTAATATATGATTTTTACAAGTAAGTGATAAGACTAAGATTAATAGGATTATTAACGAGCCTCAATATCTATTAGCTTTAGTGTTTGTGAACTTGAGCAACTTTGTAATTCTTACTCATTAGAGAAGTTTAAGCACACAATGCAAGATTCCACTCACACTCTTCATCAGGATATTGTAATACATACATCATGTAGAGTCAGACTGATATAGCTCCAAAACAATTTTTTACAGGATACTCTTCATATTTATTGTACTTGCTGTATTTTATCAATTTGTATTTTTAAATGTTCTTTCTTTGAAATGTTCTTTTTTACCCAACTATGCAATGCAAAACATATCTCAAATGTATTGAAAGTTTATTAGTATATCGTATGGTATCGTATAAAGCTATATTATTACAGTGTATTATTTGTAGTTACGGCCCTGGTGCAAACAACTTGGTGGTACGGATATATCTATGAACTGAAAGGGGTAGGTCAATTAAAAATGACAAGTGGTATCAGACCTTGGATGGTAACGGGTAGGGTGGTAAAACGCCGATTTCGCAACAAATCCAGGTGTGGTAAATGGCTGGATGGCGAAGGTTGTATGTATCGTAAGGCCGAGACAAAAGGTCAGGTTGCAAAAATGGATAATAATCATTTTATTGTATGAATTTTGAGATTAAAATGTACTTTACCATCTCTCGAACATGCTCCAAAAGTGATCCTGACGTCATCTAAAGCAATACCACCTGTACTACTTCCTACAATTCCTTCAAACATTATATAATAGTATAAAATGTCTCTTTCGACTGAGATTTGTCCAAGTTGCCAAATATTTCCTTGGTTGTTTTTTTCTGTCCACGCAGGTGTACCAACAACAGCTGTTGCATTGATTATATACACATTTAATATGTTCCCTGTGGTGCCATTCATGTGGTAGAACCACTCAACGCATGTGACGTTCGTTGCATTATATAACAATATCCAAATTCGTCCAGTTTCATTATAGTTTCTCGGATTTGAAGTTTCCATGTACAAATAGAAACCTGTAAGTAAATGGTAAAATAAATGTCCATGATTTCAAAGAGATATGGTTGTTATATGTCTTTGTAGTTTATTTTATTCATTTCGTTTGTAATTTTAGAAATATTTTCATTAAGAATTTACAATTTCATTTAGAAAATTAAAATTCATGTCAACTTTTTAATACCTTGTGATGTTCCGTAGGTGTGGTCATACTTAGGGCCAGTACCAAATGCGTTTGTTGATCCAGATGTTCTTATCCAATAAAAATTATCATTGTAATCTTGGAAAAGGTAAAAGATGTCTGGATCTACAAAAAAAGTAACTGCAGTTTAAGTAGTCTCAATAATAATTTGTGACTTTCATAGTAAAAAACTTTTACACTTCAATATACCAATAATTTTTTGGCAATGAGTTTAATCATATTCCTATTTTGTATCTAAAGTATTCGGAATGAATTTTTCAAATAATTGAAAAAATTCATGAATTTTACAATTTTACTCGTATAAAGTCGAACTAGCCTTTAAAACGCTTCCATATGTTAATGGTAAACCATACAAAATTTTGTTTTCACATTTTCAATAATAGTGTAGCAATACAAAGGATATAATAAAGGCTTACCGTAGTATAGAATATACTACAGTTGTATTTGTATCATCATTGTGTTTCAACAGTAAAGATATTGCAGGATTGGAGCAAGAGAGCAGCCTGCGGAATGGATTGGCAAGTTAGCCCATGCGCAAAGCTCACAGCGCTCGACTCCCCGGAAAGTGAAAAAAATCAAGTGGGTACAGAGGGGAATAAATGATAATTGCACAGAAATACGTACTTGACGTAAAATAAAAACACCAGAAACACCAGGAACGAAAAGTTCGACTAAATTTACCCCAGATAGTTAATTAGGGTAATATTTTGCCCTATTGTTTATTTGATATGACTTTTTTTCAAAACGCCTGCTCTTAAGGTCATTTGTATGCAAAACAATAGGAATTTTGCTGGGTAAGTTTACTTACACCCCCACTTCCAAAAAAAGTACTTATTTTAAAAACAATCATGTAGCTAAACAAAATTCAGAAAAATGCCGAAACAATAGATTGATATTAACTATAATACATATTCAATTGAAAAATTTTTCCCGGAGCTGGCCTTTAAGGATGGAAAAGTGGGTTAATAATGGTGGGTGGAAGGCCATGAAATTAGCTTTAGACTGGGTGGAAAATTTAAAGGCTGGGTGGCCCCGCCCACCTCCGCCCACTATAATTACATCCCTGGTTGTTATAATAGTCATGAATATTTATATAAATTGAGCACAGATGTACAGTCTTCTTGCAAGAACCACATTTGTATTAATAATTAATGAAAACAAAGTATAATTAATATGATTATATAAACATTGCATAAATCACTAATTTGGTGTTTTATTAATATTTTACATTTCTTTTTCGTAATTTACAGTTTACTTTTGTGGAGTGGATCTTCTTCATTTCCATAATTTATTTTGCCATTGCTGCTATAGATTACTTTTATTTTATTAAATTGTTGACTTTAGCGTACGCCAGGGGTAGGAGAAAGGGAGAACGAGTCAGATCACAGACGGACACTACTGCTAGAGTAATATGGCAAAACAAACATGTTTATTAACTGATACCAACAAGGTAACCAACAGCAACGAACAGCACAATGGAAGAGAGCGATAAAGTCGCACTCGCCGATAGAGGGCGAGTTGTGCTACTGGCTTGACTACTTTTTCTTTTCCTTTAAAATACCCACAGTAGCACGCACTGATGTCTAAACTAAAACAACGTTAAACAGGCTCTCAAAGAATAGTACAAAGTGTACAAATAACATACGTGTACTTAAGGTATAAAGCTTAATGGAAAATCAGTTACAAGTGTACTTAAGGTACTAAAGCCTAATCTAAAATGCAGTCCCATATGTATTAAGGTACGAAAGTCTAATCTAAAATGCAGTCACTGAGCCTGGCTGGAAGACGGTGTCTTCTCTGGGGACGTCGTAGAACAGGCTCCGAATGGATAGATGAGTCTGGCTGGAGAATGTTGAAAGGTGAGGACGGCAGGTCCAAGTTTGATGGAGTGGAAATTTCACGCGGTACAGCAAGGGGGGTGGGGAACTAGAGCAGTCTTCTGGGGATGTTCCGTGAGCTTCTTACCGCAAGCCCGGGTAGATGTGGCCATGGGAGAAGGGGGGGGGGGTAAGGGGAATGGGAAGTGGGCACAGTAAAACATTCAGAGCGCTTGACGCGATACGAAGTACTCCTGAGCTGTGAGCCAACAAACTTCCGAATACTGCACCAAGCACCATCCACGTCAATCACAAGGTAGCGTTGACGACCCTGGGACTTGTTACCGTCAGTAATGAGATAAACTAGATCTCCAATCTGCATAGTAGTATCTGGTGCTGTCCGCAACGTAGAGGCCTTGGACCTTGCGATATAGGGGTGTTATATAAGCGCCAGTCATGTTGGGAAAGCAGAAGCTCGCGATCAGAAACAGGAATTTGCTTGTGCGAGAATTGATCGCGCTGTGTCCACATTTCGCGAGCCGACAATCCGCTAGCGCAAATCCGGGTGTTGAGTCGGGCAGTAGCGATGGAGAGAACTACTAGCAGACACCGGGCTACCGCGCGGATCCTGGTGGAGTAACTCAACTTGGAGTTCTTGAACACCCCTTTCTGCAACTGGGTTCTTGTTGACATTCTTAATTCTCCCATCTTCAACAAATATTCTGTGATCTTTTAATAGATTGTCGTCGCCAAGGGCTGCAAAACCTGGAGCAGGATCAGTGCGTATCGTAGCGGGGGGGGACCATCTAAAGGACGTAATTCAATACATAGACGAAGCAGTGCATCGCGTAGGGTGTCGTGGCGCTCGTTTTCAATCAGACAAGACAAAGTGTAGGAAGTTACAACCTCCCTCAAAAGAAGTATGAGCTGACATTCGTGCTTTATGACATCAGCTGCAAACGCGATTCCAACAACCTCCGGTGGGTCCCCGGTGGTCTGATCAATCATGGTATGAGGTATGCGACGCGAGGCAGCACACTGATGACACGAGTCGGAAACTTGGTCAATATACTTGTCTAAATCAAGGGCGAAGAAATAGCGGCGAACAGATAGTTTGAGCTGGTGACTAGTGGGGTGGTCAAGACGAATGTGAAGGGCAGTAAGGAGACCCTCAATGATAGATCTGGGGACTATGATACATTCCTTAGTAGCTGCCAGAGGCTCACAACGAGGGGCGACTAAAAGGTTGTCCCTGCCAATAGAAGCAACATTGAGATATCTTTTGACATTGTAGCAGTACTACCATCTGTAAATTTGTATATAGGATCTGTGTGTAAATAATACCTTGCATTTTTAACTAATATCCCAACTTCATGGGTTATACACCAAGCTTAGGAAGGTCATTTACCTTAAGGTCATTTGCCTTAATTCAAGTGACCACACATCATTTGGGAATGTTGATGAGTTTCCCAGGTACTAGACAAGGACAGGCACAGTACACTTACACTAAAATATCTTTGACATTGTTGATTTTCTTAGAGGGACGAGTACCATGTATTAGGTGAGCCCTAACTCTTCTCAGGTCTGAGCACTCATTCTGGAGAGCTAGCCAAACTGTCTTGTTTGTAAAAGGTAACCGGCCATCCCCTAAAATTACATCTCGTGTGGAAGTGCGCAGTACGACAGATTCTTCATTATGGTGAACAAAAGAACAAACCTGGCAATTGTCAGAGTCACACATGAGTGTATTGCAACTTGCAAAGTCGGAGGGTATGTTAGCTGATCCTGCCAGATGCCTAATAGATACATGATAGTGACTAGCAATGGAAAGAAAAGTAGAGACGCGCGGCGACATAACTTCTCCAAAGCCTGCACACACGGCTTACTATCAGTTAAAACACAGCAGGGCCGGCGGAACGTTTTTCAAAGTTGGGGGGGGGGCCCACTTATAAGCAGGCGCGTAACAGGGGCTGTCTCTTATACACATCTAGATGTGTATAAGAGACAGGTGTTTCAACAGTAAAGATATTGCAGGATTGGAGCAAGAGAGCAGCCTGCGGAATGGATTGGCAAGTTAGCCCATGCGCAAAGCTCACAGCGCTCGACTCCCCGGAAAGTGAAAAAAATCAAGTGGGTACAGAGGGGAATAAATGATAATTGCACAGAAATACGTACTTGACGTAAAATAAAAACACCAGAAACACCAGGAACGAAAAGTTCGACTAAATTTACCCCAGATAGTTAATTAGGGTAATATTTTGCCCTATTGTTTATTTGATATGACTTTTTTTCAAAACGCCTGCTCTTAAGGTCATTTGTATGCAAAACAATAGGAATTTTGCTGGGTAAGTTTACTTACACCCCCACTTCCAAAAAAAGTACTTATTTTAAAAACAATCATGTAGCTAAACAAAATTCAGAAAAATGCCGAAACAATAGATTGATATTAACTATAATACATATTCAATTGAAAAATTTTTCCCGGAGCTGGCCTTTAAGGATGGAAAAGTGGGTTAATAATGG